CCCACTTTCTCTCTGTTTCCAAAAATCTCTTCACCAATAGGAGTAAAGCAGGTGATGGCACACCTCTTGCTAGGGAGCTGAGGGTAGTGGAGAACAGAAGGCTAAGTGGTCACTTCCATGCCCTGTTTCCACAGCACTCAGTGGTTTCCTATACGGAAAAGTGTCAGAAAAGGGTATATATTATCTCTGCATGCAGAGCATACCATAAGGAAATCTGAATTAGGATCAGAGGGAGTGAAAATTGGTGGAATATACATCAGTAATTTAAGATATGCAGATAATACCATACTCCTGGCAGAAATCTGCAATAAATTGAAAGGACTGCTGATGAAATGAAAGTGCAAAAGCAGAAGCGCAACTGAATGTTGAGAAAACACAAATCATGACTATAGAAGCATTACACAACCTTAATGTCAACAATGAAAAAATTGAAACTGTGAAAGATTTTGCATACCTGGGTTCAGTTATCAATTCAAATGGAGACTGCAGCCAAGAAATTTGAGCAAGTCTGAGTCTTGGAAGGGTGGAAATGAAGGAACTAGAAAAGATCATCAAGTGTAAGGATGTTTCACTGGATACCAAGGCCAAGATCATCCACACAATTGTATTCCCAGTCACTGTGTATGGGTGTGAAAGCTGGGAAGTATGAAACCCAACAGAGAGAAAATCATTGCACTCAAAACATGGTTTTGGAGGGAAGGTTTGCAAATACTCTGGGCCAATTAAAAGACAAACAGTTGGTGCTAGATCAAATAAACTCAAGAGTTTTCCCTGGAAGCAAAATGATGCAACTGAAAGTGCTGCACAACATGCAAGGGCAAGACTTAGGGGAGAAAACAGTCGTGCTGAGGAAGTCGAGGACAACAGAAGAAGAGGAAGATCAACTATGAGGTGGATTGATTGTGTTGGGGAAATCCAAATAAACCTTTATAGAGAAAAGTTGTTTATATGTGCCTTTGTGCTATAAAATCAAACCTGCAGCATTCCTGCTCTTCTTGCCCAGAAAGAACCAGAATTCCAAGCCAGGCGCCTTTGTTTCCCTGTAGCTCATCTGTTTCTTTAAGAGAGTGAGACTCTCCACTCACCTGAGGTGGCTGCTACATTTAATTGCAGAGTTAAACTTGTTACATTGTTAGCACTTAACTGCATTGAGGCTTTTGTTCTCTTAATTTGCTGAGCTGCAGAAAACTGCCCTGACTTGTTTTCTTGCATGTCAGTACCCACACCCAAACCCTGTAATGATTCATGTGCCTTTCTCTGTGCCATATCAATACTATGTAATCACTGGTATTTACTGTATGTCATGTCCCCCCTGTAGTTTCTTCACATTGTTTTGTTCATCAATACATTATCTATTGGTGTGCACCCATTATTTGCTCACCAGCAGCTCCAACGCATGTGTATGTGACTCAAAACCTATAAAACACTCTGCATATGTTCTGTATCTGGTTGGCACACCTCTGTCTGGCAGTGCTGTTGTAGGTTTGTATCCTGCAGAGGGGTTTACTCACCAATAAAACTGCTGAGGTTCGAAGCAAAGGGGTCTCCCTGTGGATCTCATGGCTGCTAACCGAGATTCCTTGCCAATTCCATAAAAGAAACCACAGCCCTGAGTTATAAGCACTGATCAGGACTGTCAAAGGACAGGACGATTTTGAGAGCTTTCATTCGTAGGATCATCATAAATGGGAGACAATGTGATGGCACATAATGACAACCATTAAGGAAGCAATGAATGTTTACTTTGTACCCCCCTCTCAATTTTTTTAAAATTAAAAAGTGCAATTCCAAAAACATTTTGAATATAAGGGATAGTTTATGCTTAACTATGTATTGGTAGTTTTGCCCTAGCATTGCTATGAATAAATGGATTGCTAATTTGGAAGCTGAAATGAGGTTTGTGCAGGTCCTATGAAAATGCTTACCTCACATTTTATTGTCCACCAAATGAAGATTAGGAGTTAACTCACTCCCTTGCGTCTTTCATGTGAAGGGACTAGGTAAAAAACAAAATAATTTCTCTGCAAGGCTATATCAAAGGCATTCCTCTAAAAGGCTACATCTGTCCATTAGTTGATAAGCAAAGTTTACAAGGGCCTTAACTCTTCAACAGGTTAAGGCTTCAGCAAGGTTACAAAGAGTTCAAGCACAGGGAATTGGGAATTTTTACATCAACAGGACGTATTTTTAGTTTATAAATACAGAAACTCAATGTGGTATCTTTTACAAGTTTACAGTGCAACAATATTAAAATGTTGTTTGCTAAATCTGCAAAATAATTGCAAAGTACATGTTAATGGGAAAGGTTATTTCTGTTGGAGCCTAATAAAAACAAACTTAGAGGAACAAGTTTAACATATTTATAATATTCTGGAACATTAGCATTATTTTTGCATGATTTTTTTTGCTGAATCTCTCTTTCTAACTGTCAGAAAAAAACATTCTCAGGAACCAATCATAAATGTATGCACGTGCTTTAAGCTTATGCATATTAAAAAGAATCAATTGCTTAGTTGTTTGGCAAGAGCTGAACTCTTTTGCATTAGTACTGTTATTCTCTCAGAATATGGATATTTTAGATAGCTTTGATATATGCGCCTGCATAATCTTTAGTCTTACTGGGAGGTTTTCTGGCTAAGCGAAAGCCACACTCTAGTAATTCAGTGGAACTGCATGCAGTTCCTACATATTCAAAGGCAGTATTCATTAAAATTAGTGTTTCAAAAAACGTTGATTTATTCAGTTTTGTTTCTTCTTAAGGCTTTCTTGGCTCAGTAGCTATCATGTTGTGGAAAGCATGAAGACGTAAAGGTTTTTAAAATGTGTAACAGAAACTCACCTGTATTGCTTCTTTTGTACCTGTTTGGGATTTTTTTTTAAATTGGTGGCTGGAAGAACTGCACTTTGGGAAAGCACGAGGTTTTGTGACCTATGTGTTTCTCATAAATTTATTTTTAAACGGAAACTTTATTTCTGAAGATTCTTAGTTTAACATTTTAATGTATGCCAATGTAATCCCTGGGAGCCACAGTAGACAAGGGGGACGAGATAATTCTCACATACCCTGCTTAACATAAATAATTTAGATTTTGCTTGACTGCTGTATGAACTTATCCATAAGGCACAACTATGGCAGTGCATGCCTGTAGTTTGAAGAGGAACATATTACATAGACAGAATACCGTCTGATACTTTGCATAATATCAAAAGTACAACTACCAAGAAGGTATATAAGAATGTAATTCTACAAGTATGGGAGACTTCTGTTGCTTTTATTATAACTTTTGTTCACAAAAAATACCTGTTTTGCAACTAAACAATTAACATCAATGGGACATTCTCTAAATAATAGCCATTTAAAAATATAATCGTTTAAAATTGAAATTAATTGATCGTGCAGATTTATGTAGAAAATTGTGGGATCAACTCGGTAAGCAAAATTCTTTGAGCAGTATACACGTTAATGTGTCAACACCAAAGTATTCCTAACTAGTTCATGTACACATTTAAATATTCGTGTTCTCATAGTAGTTTTTCTTTAATTCTAAAGTCCATTAGTGCTGTTATTGATATAGTTATGCTTTCATGACATAAGATGCAATTCATCTGCATTTTATGTTCTCACATTGCCTAGTTGTAAGGAATAAATCCCAGTAGTGATGATACGGAGGCAAAGTACCAAGCAGTACAGTTTAATTCGTTCTTACAAGAGCGGGTGCCCACCACACAGGCAGCGCAATGTTTACACACAAGACATTGCTTTTTATTCCCTTTTCCCGGCTCGCAGACCCTACCTCTTTTCTCCCATTGGCTGGGTTACTAAGAAGTTACAATCTTCTCCGTCCGCCTACATCATACTGCCCCTTGATATGCTCCCCCTCCTGCTCATACATCCCGTATTCATGCTAATGAGCCCATTACCTATGAGAGGTGTGTCAGTTACTATTCATGAACCTATTAAGCCTGCGCGGTACCTTCTAAAAGTTCAACAGGTCATCTTGGCCTTGTAGATTCTTACTTGATGCCAATTTGCTTCTTAAATCTTGTGGGAGGATGAGATAGGAAGAACAGGCCTTCCTCCAGGCTCATTACGGCCAGTTGTAAAAGGTAATCAATTTCCTGCTCTCTTCCACTGAAGGTGACAGTTTTACCGCTGTCCCTCAATTTTACCCTCTCTGGCATTTTTCAGGACTTTGATGTAAGAAACACTATTACTTTTAGTACAACTATTTACATGGTTCTCTCCTCAGGCCTTTTGGACGTAAGGAATTCAATGATCCTACGCTAGCCCTGTATTTCACCCTTTCTTTGGTTTTCACCTTACCACTTAGTAACAGTAATATTTCATTTCTCACATGGTATATTGATGGAGTCAGAGTCAACAGATTCATTATTTTAAATCTGACCTGTTGTATAAAAATCAAACCCCAATCTAATAGCTTGCTGACTGTGGCTCTTTTAGAGTTGCAGTCCTCGGAGCTAGATGGATTTATTATTGAGTAGGTCTTGAGACCACTAATGCTGAATTCACAAGATTCTAAGCAAACTACTTACGTAGCGCAAAGGTATGAACAGGGTTTTGAAATTAAATTTTCTAAGTGGTTCCCCAATTTGGTCCTGATGCTGGTAAAATATTAACATTCTATGTACAGTATGAAATAAGAAGGCAGTAGATTTATTTAAACACGAGGTTTCTATTGAAGAAAAGAAAAACTAAGAGAATACAGGAGATAACCTGGTGCTTTTAGCCAGGAGCAGAACCCCAACCAACATGACTAACAGTCAGGGATGATGGGAATTGTAGACTAATAACACATGGACGGGCACAGATTTCCCATTCTTGGTTTATATCCTTGAAAACTGTTGTCAATATTTCGGGTTTGGCCTAGCTTCTAATAACAGTTCCTCAGCATTCTATGTAGGGACCTAATTTTTCTCTGTGCACAGTCCTAATGATATTAGATATTTTTATTTCATGGGTCTTTATTATACTCTTGCAGGCATTTGGACAATCTTTCTCAGTCCACCGTAAAGTAGCTGAAGATGGTGAGACTCGTGAAGAGACACTCCTTCAGGAATCGGCATCAAAGGAAGCCTATTACCTAGGGAAGATCTTGGAAATGCAGAACGAACTGAAGCAAAGCAGGGCTGTTGTTACCAACATTCAGGCGGAGAATGAACGACTAACAGCGATTGTGCAGGACTTGAAAGAGGTAAATCAGGATAAGAAGAAGTGTGATATGTGGAATAGATTTCAACTGAATTGATTTACAGATATAGCACTCGGAAGAGATAGACACAAGATAGAGTAGGTGATCTGGTTGAAACTCAGGTTATCTTTTTATTTCTTAGGATATAGCCATGGGGACCTGGATTTGAATTGGGTAAGGAAAGCATGGGCTGGAGGGTGTGTCTAGAAATTTGCAACGTACCAATTGCTGGCTTAAATCTCCTGCCCCTTCACTCATACATCTCCTTCCCCTCCACTCAGGTATCTATGCATCCCTGGTCAGAATTCAAATGTATTAGAATGTTTATTTTCTCGTTATTTTGTTTAGTTTGATTGTATTGCCTTGAAATCTAGATAAGATGAAGGCCATGATGATGTCATTATTATACTTTAAATTGTCACACTAGAAAGCACAGGATCACTTCTATATTTAGGGTATGTTTGCATGACATGAGAAGCCTTCATTCATTCATTCATTCATTCATTCATTCATTCATTTATTATTTCGTATGGCATTGTATGTACAATTGGCCAGGAAGTCTACAGTGCCAATGCAGAGTAGTGTGACTACCTCAGATTGCTAGCGCTTCATGCTCGTGCGCTGTCCACGGTGCACCACAGGGGGCGAGCCAGCTGTGACGCAATGCAGCTAGTGCTGGCCTGTGGGAGTGTCGGCGTCTTCTGGTCTCTCTCCGCTGCCAGTGCTGCCACTGCTGCCTCAGATTCGATACTGGAGAACGATGCGGGGCTGGTCCTCATACTTCCACGCAGGTCACTAACTCTTCACCAAGGTGAGAGGCCATAGTGAAATCTTGCTATTGTGGGTCTGTTAGGTCATTTGGATCCAGTTCCAGTGTTTCTGCATTATAGGATTAATTTTCTGAAACCACGGAAAGAATCAGTGGTCTCTTCTGTGGTTTCCAGGCTTTACTGTGGCTTCTTGGCTCATCTGGATGTCTGACAGACTTTTACCATTGCTGTGATGGGAATACCATAGCATCTCCTGGCAAGGGTGGCCATGAAAGTGGCGATTTGTAGCCTTCAATCTCTACTGCCCTCAGCTCCCTAGGAGCAGACGTGTCATTGATTGCTTTATTTCCCTTGTCTGGGTGTGAAAATACATGGAAGGAGAAGGGGGGAATTTTGGTGAAACTGTTTGTTTTCATTTTATAAAAATGTCTGTGGGATTATAGTGGCTGGGAAGTGCTGTAGACATACAAGTACACTCAGAAGGGGAAGGGGGAACCTGTCTCAGGACTGCAGCACACCAATGAGGAGGAAGAAGCTGCAAGAATAAGGCAAGAATATTGGCAAGAATAAGGAAAGGATGGGGGTTTCGCTTGTGGGGGCTGCAGGAATGGGTGATGAGGCAGGAGGATGGTGTGGGGAGCGTGGTAACTACACCTCCCAAGGAAACACGTGATTCTCTGACTGGTAAATCTGGGCAAAATCCATGCGCCATGGAAACAGCACCAGGGTTGTTGGCTGTGCCATGTGAATTCAGCCCTAGTGTTGTTTGCTGCTTCCCACAGTAAGAGTTTTCAGTAGCTTCTCAACTGATTTGTTGCCTCATTTCTTGCTGTTGAAAAAGCTGTTTTTTCTTACAAGCAATTAGCTGAGCAGGAAATCTTCTAGCCTGCTCACTTTTAATGAATGAGTCTGTGCTGAATGGAGAGGATGTGAATTTGCATCATACTACGCGTAGGACTCTGTGCCTTTAGAGCTTAGATCATTTTTACATAAAATACTAAAGAGCTGTTTTTTCACTATTTCTGCTGTGAGCTTGTTGTTAATATGGGTTACAATGAGGAGGAATTGAATAAACATTCTTACTGATTCAGGTCTTCCATTCTTATTATTTGCGAACTTAAAAGAGAAAAATCAGTGTAAGTCCTATATGTGAAGAGTCATTTAAGACGTTATTTTAAGAAGACTTGGGGATAAAATTTATCAGGGGGCTGTCTTCCAGCAAAGTATGTATAGGGCCTTGTTCCTTCATTAGGATAAGCTGGGCAAGTAGCCAATGGCCAGCTTCCTATGCCTGGGGGATCCTTCTGCATTCCAAGAGAATATGTACTTTGGCAAGCATATATGTTTGATACAATAGCATGTTTGGGAAAAACACCTGCAGATCATCTGGACCTTAGATCTAAAGTCTCAGTCAAAAGATGCCATCTCTTGATGTAATCTCTGTATTCATTGCTATTTACTGGTTCTTGTACAATGTTGGTAGGAAGACTTTATCTATAGAATTAATAATTTAGCTTATGGCTATTATAGCCTTTGAAAAATTACGTTAATCTTTTCATTGTAATGCTTAGTTCGTCCTTTTTTGCTTCTTTTCTTCCTCTGGATAGTTTCCAGCTTTAGTACAATCCAAATTGCTGCTTTTCCCATTGTCCTAGCAAGCAGTAGTTACACTGCAGTAGTAGTACAATGACATTACAATGTCATTACTGCTCGCACTTGGACACAGTTGGATACGAGAATACCTTCCATCCTTGAATCATTGTAGATTAATAGAGAAGAACAGGAACTTCATTTTCTCATAACCTTTAATTTGATAAATCTATACTTGTTGCTATTTTAAGCAATTATATTCCTTGATATGCGACTTGCATGGTTTAAAACTGCAGTTAAGCTGATGATAGCTAAACTAATATACCTGGAAATAGTAATACATTCCAAACTTAAAGCAGGAATCCATTGGCCCATAATGTCCAAAGAACGGGGGCACTGTAAGGAGCCAAAATTAACAATGACATAGTAAAAAAAAGTGAACTTGGTTAATCTTGGGCACCTGGTTTGTAAACTTACCATTAGCATTTATATGGTGATGTGAGTACTGGCTTTGTCTATAGAACCCCTTCCCTTGAGAAATAGGGTTTTTTTTTTTTTTTAAATGAACCCTGAGAACTTTTTTTTTATTTCAAGCAACTTGTTTTAAATAAACAAACAAATAAATAAAATATGTAATGTTTAAACCACTGTTGTGTTAACATACTAAAGTCATAATATTTAGAGTTATACAAATATTAAGGTAGCACAAATATTTGAAATAAATATTGTGACATTGTTACTGAGCAAAGTATAGGCGGTGAATAAGATCTTGCAGAAGAGCTGGCCGCATGCTGTGATTCTCTGTTCTCTATCCTCAGACTTATATGTTGAAAACCAGTTTTATATTGCTAGTTATGCTCATTAACATTCCTATCATGGAAGCTTTGCTATTCATTAATTCTATCTCCTAAACTGCAGGCTGGCTAGATCTCCAGTGGCTGTTCCTTTTTTTGCAAGCCAATTGCTTTTTAGAGCTATCAGCCCAGATCAGATAACGATTTAACACCTTGTCTACCATGCTTCACAAACCTTCATGGATTCTAATATCACTGCAGTTTTTCTGTTTTTGATGTTGGGGAGGGGTGCCTTCCTCTTTGGTGTGTTTTTTATTTGACAGAATCCAAACACACACACTCATTATAGATCCACTTCAGGGTTATGGCAGCTGCCAGGGGGGCGGGGGGGGGGATTGTCTGTTTTAGTTCCTAACTACTTCACCCTGAGATGATTGTGTATTGTGCATTGGCTAGAAAAATAATTTGTATTCATGAACCAAAAGCTGCATTTTGTGACTGACTTCAGGAATACACCACTGGCTTGTTATAGTCAAGGGACAAGCTAACACAGACAAGGGATTTCGCCATGACTACCAAACATTAGAATCACTGTAAGAATAGACTCTTGTTCTTTCAGTACCGACACACAATAGTTTATTTCTCTGCACATCGATATGAAAAAGTTTTTACTGATTATCTAGTAAACATAATGAAAAATTTGGAAAAACAAAACAATTCCCACAAACAGGAAGCATTCAATTTATATTCCAATCCGCAAGAAAGGAGATGCAGAAGAATTCAGGAACCGTAGGACCATTGTATTAATTTCCCATGCAAGCAAAGTGATGCTCAAGGTGTTGCAACAGAAAATATTACCCTATTTGGAGTGAGAAGTACCTGATATTCAAGGCAGATTCTGAAAAGGGAGGGGCACTAGAAATCATATTGCAAGGTATGTTGACTACTCGGGCACAGCAAAGAAGTTCAGAAGAAGAGTCGTCTTTGCTTTGTAGCCTACAGAGCCTTCAACTGTGTGGGTCACAAGAAGCTCTGGATGGCCCTGAAAGAAATGAATGTGCCTCAGCACTTGATTACCCTAATGGGCAAGCTGTATTGTGAACAAGAAGCTAGCAATAGGGCAGAATATGGAGAAACAGAATGGTATTCTATAGGCAGAGTCATCAGGCAGAGGTGAATTTTATGTCTGCATCTGTACAATCTGTACACAGAGCACATCAAAAGGAAGGCTGAATTACAGGAAGGAGTGAAAAATGGTGGAAAATAACATCAGTAATTTAAGAGATGCAGATGATACCATTATACTGGCAGAAAGCAACAGTGACTTGAAATGACTCCTGATGAAAACGAATGAAGAAAGTGCAAAAGCAGGGCTGCAACTGAACATTAAGAAAAGAAAAGAAAAAAAAACTTGGCTGCAGAGGAATGAGATTATTAACTTTACTGTTAATAATGAGTAAATTGAAAGATTTTGTATACCTTGGTTTAGGAATCAATTCAAATGGAGACTGCAGCCTAGAAAATCAAAGGCTGAGACTTGGAAAGGCAGCAGTCAAGGCACTAATAAGTGTAAGGACACTTCATTTCAGACCAAGGCCAAGATAAGATACAGTATTGTATTTGCAGTTGCTGTGTATGGATGTAGAAGCTGGACAGATTCACTGGCGAAGGCATCCAGGGATTGGAAATGAAGTCCAATGAAGAAAGATTTTAAAAACTGGGCATGTTTGATCATTTTAGCACTGTGCTAGTATAAGTAAGTACCAGTACTACAGCTTTAATGCTTGCTAGGCAAACAGCAAAAATTTGCTTAAATTCAGCAGCAAAGTACTCACTGCCTTTTCCTTTT